CGCCGGGCCGCGAGTGTCCCACCGAGGTCTCCTTGCGGAAGTGAAAGTCATGGGGCTTCGGTGGGGAGGGACCTGACAAACATGGCTATCAAGAATAGGTTGAATATTCACTTAAGGAGTTATGCATCTTACAATTAATATATATATATATATATATATATATCTGTATGTATATATATATATATGTATATATATATATATGTATATATATATATATATATATATACATATACACATATTTTTTCCTCCTCCCAGAGAAAACTCCCCAGGATGCGAGAGCTTCTTCTCTTGGAGCCTTGCAGGCCCTCCGCCGAGCCGCTGTGCGCAGCCCAAGAGCAAGAGGCAGTCTGCACAGTTTTGGTATGTTCTGGTAGCTCCCTACGGCTCCCGGATTCTTGTTGGGTCTGATGCCCTCGCATCCTCAAAGGTGGAAGATGGCCGCTACGTGCAGTCCCTGCAGCGCAAGTTGGAGCCCACGTTCGGTGGAGCCGAACTGGACATTGCCACTGTGACGGAGATAACCTCCAGTGGCCAGGTGCCCACACTTGCTGAGAAAAGTTCCAAGTGCAATCCAGGGAGTGCAGGTCATCCGGAGCTGTGCCGCCGTCCCTGCATCTACTATGCCCTTGGCCAGTGCATCAACTTGACGGACTGCAACTTCTGCCACTTGCCGCACAACAACCGCTCGGCAACTTTGGACAAGAGCCAGCGTCAGGTGATCAAGGAGATGAGCCAGCATGAGTTCTTGAGTGTGGTCACCCGATGCCTGCAGTCCAAGGCGGTCGAGGGCGGTTTCGAGCTTGGAGCGCGGGATGTGCTGCAGCTCTTCAAGACACAGCTCAGCCAACTGAAGGCAACTCCCAGCAAGGTATCCAAGGCTAAAGCCATGAACCTCGAGAAGGCTCTTGCCCGCATGACCTTCTTCAGCGTCGCTAGCCTGACCTCCAGAGTGAACTTCGACGCAGGCTTCCTCGAGATGTGCAAGGAGAAGGTCACTTACTTGAGGCAAAGAGTAGCTTGAACTCAGTGATGACAGGTCATCCGAGCATTCATGACTGCCGCCGGCAGCACTCACCGCAAAGGACTTCCAGTGGCTTACCACAATCCTTTACTTCCGTTCCCTTTCTGCAGGGGCACTGTCCTTGATGGACATCCCTCAAAGTGTTTCACTCAACGCCTGCTCTTCGGGCTGCTGGCATGAACGTTGTTGGTCGGGCAGACTGTGACTCTTGTAAAACCATGGACACGGGTTTTGTGTTGTCTTTTTTTTTTGGTCGATTGCCGCAGCCTCCGGCTGCCATCCCCAGAGATACCTGGGGTGGAACTGGAGTGAGCAACGAGTATCAACGAGTCTTGCCTCGGGCTGGCCTGGGCGTTCAAGGTGCTGCCAGTGATGCTTGGACAGCACCTTCGCCGCCCGGCCCGCGAGGCGTGGAGATTTCCAGCGCATCACAGTGCATTCGAGTGGAGTTGCCGAGAATGAGGGGCATTGCCGTCGTATAGCTGCCGGGTCAAGACCGCGTTTGTAGCCTGACGTCGGCTTGCGGGGCGGTGTGAAAGGAACGTAACCCTCACTGCTCCAGAGCGCAAAACATGCATCTCTGACACCGCTATCCGCTTTTACAGCCTTTTGTGTGGCTACCTCGTCTCGTTTAGAATCAGCCTCATGTATTGAGTCTTGCATGTTCCCTAATTGGGGAGGTAAGGCAAATCCCCTCCCCACGGGGTGTGAGGAGCTGGGGGCTGAAGGAAACTATCCCAGAACCCGGTGACTCAACGCCCTTCATGTCAGCCTCGACTGCAGGATTTCATCTGTCAAGCGCCGAGAGACAGCAGAGATCCGATGATCGCGCATCAGAATCGTGCCAGTAGCGTGGCGCGCCACGTCTGCAGCGTGCCGTTCTGCATCAACTTGGTCTTCACGTCAGGTGTCGGTGTCAAGATTGTGTGAGACATCGATCTGCTGTGTTCACTGTGTTCATCGTGGTCTTTGCGGCTTTTGCGTCCTTTGCGGCTTAAGAAACCGAAGCTCTTCGGCCGCTCCTCATTCAGCTTGCCGTGCGCATCTGCGCCTGGGCTTGCAATACGCCAATACGCATCCCCATGGGCGTGGAGACTCTTTTAGCGTAAGCCCTACCCCGAGATGCCTCCCAGATGCCCTCGCCCTCTCCCCCGAGATGCCCCCGGTCGTTTGTGCTGCTTGTGGACGCTGTGCATCGCTTTTTGAATATGCCTCACTCACTCATTCACAAGGTGCTTTCTCGACTCGACACCGCAGCTCCGGACACAGCCTGTGCAGGATGCCCATGTGCGCACCATGGCGATGGCTCAAAGCCAGTTTCTGAGTGTTTGAGGAGATGTCTCTCGAGTTGGGTTATGTCAACACGTTCATCACGGTCCAGGCCTCTCCGAAGCTTGGGGCCGCGGCTTTGAGCAGTTTTAGGTGACGTTGAGGATGCCCAACAACATGCTCCTGCATGGCCTGATCTTGGGATCTTCCCCTCTCCATTATATTGTGGCAACATTCCAGCTCATTGCGGTCAGCAAATCAACCTGCAATGCGAGTTTACAAATGTCCAATGTGTATCTACATCTATCGTATCTCCATTTATCGTATCTACATCTATCTGTACATCTTGTTTACATATATATATATATATATGAAATTATACGAATGCCCAGTTCTTCCATGATGTGCACGCAGCCTGCCCAGGCTGTCTGCGCATGATTAGCCCTAGCCGAATCTCTACAGCAGAGGTTTTCTGCCTTTGATACCTTATCTCGTTTATCTTGTGTCGGAGTTGTACACATGCAAGACTAAGTGGGGAAGTGCACTCAAGCAGCATCAAGAATCAACCGTGCTGTTGTAAAATCCAGATCGGCTCAGAGGTGTTGGGGGCCTGCGGCATTCGTGCTTTGCAGGAGGAGCCCCTGGTGCAGCTGAAGCGCCGAGCCTCCAGCGTCCCGCCAAGGCCAGGGGTTCAAGCCTCATTTCTCTTTGCTTTGGTGTGTTTGTGTGTGTTTGTCTCTCCGTGTGTGTGTGTGTGTCTTTTCTTTTCATTGCTCCGTTGCTGGGAGCCTCTTTCGTAGAAGCCTGCTTGCTGGAGACGCCTTGCAGCTTGTGCGTAGCTGTGCCTGAAGCGCATGTGTAAAGGCTTGGCCACGTTGCGCTGGAGTTCGATTGCCCAGCACAGCAACAGGAGGCCGGCTTCGTTCGCTGTCCACGTTCGCTGCTCATGCCCGCGTGTAAGCGCTGAGGCGGAGGACGGGCGCTACGTGCAGTCTCTCCAGAAGAAGCTGGAGCCCATCTTTGCTTGCAAAGCGGAGCCTCAGAAAGCTGACGAGTACGAGGAGTCTACGGCCGAGACGAATGCCCCGTCGGAGGAGATAACTTCCGAGGGTGAGTCGTCAGAGATGTCGGCTGAGGACAAGCCCAAGTGCAATCCGGGAAGTGCAGGTCATCCGGAGCTGTGCCGCCGTCCCTGCATCTACTTCGCCCTTGGCCAGTGCATCAACTTGGCGGACTGCAACTTCTGCCACTTGCCGCACAACAACCGCTCGGCAACTTTGGACAAGAACCAGCGTCAGGTGATCAAGGAGATGAGTCAGCATGAGTTCTTGAGTGTGGTCACCCGATGCCTGCAGTCCAAGGCGGTCGAGGGCGGTTTCGAGCTTGAAGCGCAGGATGTGCTGCAGCTCTTCAAGGCACAGCTTGGCCAACTGAGGGCAACTCCGAGCAAGGTACCCAAGACCAAAGTCATGAACTTCGAGAAAGCTCTCGCCCGCATGACCTTCTTCAGCGTCGCGAGCCTGACCTCCCGCGTGAACCTGAGCAGCGACTTTATTGACACGTGCAAGGAGAGGGTGGTCAGCCTACGACAGAGGCTCGCCGAGTGAGAGCTCAGAGCGGACGGCCCCAACAACCGCTGCACTTTCCAGGCACATTCCTCTCACAAGTCCGCTGGGGTGAGATATCCGCCTGCAGCGTTGACGGCTCCTGCTTTTTCATGTCGAGATCCCTTTTTCAGCGGCTCGTCATGCTTCAATGATCTTCAACCTTTCCCGTGGAGTGATCAATAGTGTCACTTGCGGCCCTCGAAGGTAGCTTTCGGCTGGCTGGCCTTGCATCCAGCTGCGGGTGCTTGCAAGCAAAGACGTGTCATTGTTGTTAGGGCTGGGCTACATCCGCCCCTCAGGGCAGCTGGGATGCTGGTGCAGTCAGCCCCATGCCAACCCATTCGAAACGGCGCTTCACTCTAGGAATATCTAGGTGCTAGCTCCTTGCCGCAGTCCCCGGGACCTGGTTTGGATATGAACCAGGCAATCCTGAGACGGTTGTTCGACGCCGCCTGGACATCTGCGCTTTGATCAATGCGGCTTCGTGTGTTGGTGTGGCGTAGGTGCTTCATTCTGCGGACGGGGCGCCGTGCAACCGGACTTCCACTAGGGTCCACAGTGCCTGTGCCTGCTGCGCTAAGCACCGTGCCGGCCAGGCATCCGTATCAAGCCTAGTGGGGACTCTCGTCCCGCGGGGCTGCATGCAGCCTTTTTTGCGGAAGGTCTTGCGGAGCAGGGCTTTCCATCCTTACCAGATGGCTTCGCGCACGGACCTGCGGCAGCCGCTATGCAGGAGACAGCTAGGTCGTTGCCTGTGTCAAGCTGCCTAAAGGTCCATTCCGGGAGGAGCCCAATATGCCCAAGATTGCCTTGTCACCCCGCATGCTGGATGATGGTAAAGTAGATCAGAATCACATGATTTGGGCATATGTCTCGGGTCCCAGATAGCTTCGCTGCGGATGGCAGCTGCGTTCGAGCAACTGGGATACCCGAAGTTGTTGCAAAGTACTCGTAGATATGCCAGAAATGGAGGGCTCTTCCCAGTCAGATCATTCAGTAGCCAAAAGGTAGGAAGCTGTGGCAAGGATTTTCCCCGCAGTGGAGCAGAAAAAGCCCGCCCACCGGACCCGTCATTCGGTTTGACGGTCGCAAAGCACCAAAGCATGCGTGATCGCCACGCGCACCCGGCAATTCTACTCGTTGCGTGGCTGTTTGTTGACAATTCTATGGTTCGAGAACCACGAAGTGCATCTGCCGCTCCCGACTACGCTGCGCAGCAGCGCCGGACTTGCATTTCTTCATATTTCTTCCAAGTGGTGAAACTGGCGCAGCCTCCCCAGCCTCCGCACATCGCAACGGCTCAGGTCTCCAACTGTCCTCCCTCCAGACAAATCGTGTGCAGGACAGAGATGGACAGAGCAGTCACAGCAGTCAAGAGGCTCATTTTGGCAAGGCTCATTGTGGTGCTTTCGAGGAGATGTCCCTCGAATTGGACTATCGCAACACTTTCATCACCGTCCAGGATGCAGACAGGGCCAGCAGAGAATATCAGTGATGATCAGCTCTAAGCCGGCCGTGTGTTTCACAGAAGGTCCGGTCCTCTCAAAACCTCCGTGCTTTGCAGGAGGAGCCCCTGGTGCAGCTGAAGCGCCGAGCCTCCAGCGTCCCGCCAAGGCCAGGGGTTCAAGGATTCAAGCCTCATTTCTCTTTGTTTTGTGTCTTTGTGTGTGCGTGTGTCTTTTCTTTTCATTGCTTCGTTGCTGGGAGCCTCTTTCGTGGAAGCCTGCTTGCTGGAGACGCCTTGCAGCTTGTGCGTAGCTGTGCCTGAAGCGCATGTGTAAAGGCTTGGCCACGTTGCGCTGGAGTTCGATTGCCCAGCACAGCAACAGGAGGCCGGCTTCGTTCGCTGTCCACGTTCGCTGCTCATGCCCGCGTGTAAGCGCTGAGGCGGAGGACGGGCGCTACGTGCAGTCTCTCCAGAAGAAGCTGGAGCCCATCTTTGCTTGCAAAGCGGAGCCTCAGAAAGCTGACGAGTACGAGGAGTCTACGGCCGAGACGAATGCCCCGTCGGAGGAGATAACTTCCGAGGGTGAGTCGTCAGAGATGTCGGCTGAGGACAAGCCCAAGTGCAATCCGGGAAGTGCAGGTCATCCGGAGCTGTGCCGCCGTCCCTGCATCTACTTCGCCCTTGGCCAGTGCATCAACTTGGCGGACTGCAACTTCTGCCACTTGCCGCACAACAACCGCTCGGCAACTTTGGACAAGAACCAGCGTCAGGTGATCAAGGAGATGAGTCAGCATGAGTTCTTGAGTGTGGTCACCCGATGCCTGCAGTCCAAGGCGGTCGAGGGCGGTTTCGAGCTTGAAGCGCAGGATGTGCTGCAGCTCTTCAAGGCACAGCTTGGCCAACTGAGGGCAACTCCGAGCAAGGTACCCAAGACCAAAGTCATGAACTTCGAGAAAGCTCTCGCCCGCATGACCTTCTTCAGCGTCGCGAGCCTGACCTCCCGCGTGAACCTGAGCAGCGACTTTATTGACACGTGCAAGGAGAGGGTGGTCAGCCTACGACAGAGGCTCGCCGAGTGAGAGCTCAGAGCGGACGGCCCCAACAACCGCTGCACTTTCCAGGCACATTCCTCTCACAAGTCCGCTGGGGTGAGATATCCGCCTGCAGCGTTGACGGCTCCTGCTTTTTCATGTCGAGATCCCTTTTTCAGCGGCTCGTCATGCTTCAATGATCTTCAACCTTTCCCGTGGAGTGATCAATAGTGTCACTTGCGGCCCTCGAAGGTAGCTTTCGGCTGGCTGGCCTTGCATCCAGCTGCGGGTGCTTGCAAGCAAAGACGTGTCATTGTTGTTAGGGCTGGGCTACATCCGCCCCTCAGGGCAGCTGGGATGCTGGTGCAGTCAGCCCCATGCCAACCCATTTGAAACGGCGCTTCACTCTAGGAATATCTAGGTGCTAGCTCCTTGCCGCAGTCCCCGGGACCTGGTTTGGATATGAACCAGGCAATCCAGGCAATCCTGAGACGGTTGTTCGACGCCGCCCGGACATCTGCGCTTTGATCAAAGCGGCTTCGTGTGTTGGTGTGGCGTAGGTGCTTCATTCTGTGGGGCGCCGTGCAACCGGACTTCCATTAGGGTCCGCAGTGCCTGTGCCTGCTGCGCTAAGCACCGTGCCGGCCAGGCATCCGCATCCAGCCTAGTGGGGACTCGTCCCGCGGGGCTGCATGCAGCCTCTTCTGCGGAAGGTCTTGCGGAGCAGGGCCTTCCATCCTTACCAAACGGCTTCGCACGCGGACCTGCGGCAGCCGCAATGCAGGAGACAGCTAGGTCGTTGCCTGTGTCAAGCTGCCTAAAGGTCCATTCCGGGAGGAGCCCAATATGCCCAAGATTGCCTTGTCACCCCGCATGCTGGATGATGGTAATTAAAGTAGATCAGAATCACATGATTTGGGCATATGTCTCGGATCCCAGATAGCTTCGCTGCGGATGGCAGCTACGTTCGAGCAACATTCCCGAAGTTGTTGCAAAGTACTCGTAGATATGCCAGAAATGGAGGGCTCTTCCCAGTCAGATCATTCAGTAGCCAAATTGGTAGGAAGCTGTGGCAAGGATTTTCCCCGCAGTGGAGCAGAAAAAGCCCGCCCACCGGACCCGTCATTCGGTTTGACGGTCGCAAAGCACCAAAGCATGCGTGATCGCCACGCACACCCGGCAATTCTACTCGTTGCGTGGCTGTTTGTTGACAATTCTATGGTTCGAGAACCACGAAGTGCATCTGCCGCTCCCGACTACGCTGCGCAGCAGCGCCGGACTTGCATTTCTTCATATTTCTTCCAAGTGGTGAAACTGGCGCAGCCTCCCCAGCCTCCGCACATCGCAACGGCTCAGGTTTCCAACTGTCCTCCCTCCAGACAAATCGTGTGCAGGACAGAGATGGACAGAGCAGTCACAGCAGTCAAGAGGCTCATTTTGGCAAGGCTCATTGTGGTGCTTTCGAGGAGATGTCCCTCGAATTGGACTATCGCAACACTTTCATCACCGTCCAGGATGCAGACAGGGCCAGCAGAGAATATCAGTGATGATCAGCTCTAAGCCGGCCGTGTGTTTCACAGAAGGTCCGGTCCTCTCAAAACCTCCGTGCTTTGCAGGAGGAGCCCCTGGTGCAGCTGAAGCGCCGAGCCTCCAGCGTCCCGCCAAGGCCAGGGGTTCAAGGATTCAAGCCTCATTTCTCTTTGTTTTGTGTTTTTGTGTGTGCGTGTGTGTCTTTTCTTTTCATTGCTTCGTTGCTGGGAGCCTCTTTCGTGGAAGCCTGCTTGCTGGAGACGCCTTGCAGCTTGTGCGTAGCTGTGCCTGAAGCGCATGTGTAAAGGCTTGGCCACGTTGCGCTGGAGTTCGATTGCCCAGCACAGCAACAGGAGGCCGGCTTCGTTCGCTGTCCACGTTCGCTGCTCATGCGCGCGTGCAAGCGCTGAGGCGGAGGACGGGCGCTACGTGCAGTCTCTCCAGAAGAAGCTGGAGCCCATCTTTGCTTGCAAAGCGGAGCCTCAGAAAGCTGACGAGTACGAGGAGTCTACGGCCGAGACGAATGCCCCGTCGGAGGAGATAACTTCCGAGGGTGAGTCGTCGGAGATGTCGGCTGAGGACAAGCCCAAGTGCAATCCGGGAAGTGCAGGTCATCCGGAGCTGTGCCGCCGTCCCTGCATCTACTTCGCCCTTGGCCAGTGCATCAACTTGGCGGACTGCAACTTCTGCCACTTGCCGCACAACAACCGCTCGGCAACTTTGGACAAGAACCAGCGTCAGGTGATCAAGGAGATGAGTCAGCATGAGTTCTTGAGTGTGGTCACCCGATGCCTGCAGTCCAAGGCGGTCGAGGGCGGTTTCGAGCTTGAAGCGCGGGATGTGCTGCAGCTCTTCAAGGCACAGCTTGGCCAACTGAGGGCAACTCCGAGCAAGGTACCCAAGACCAAAGTCATGAACTTCGAGAAAGCTCTCGCCCGCATGACCTTCTTCAGCGTCGCGAGCTTGACCTCCCGCGTGAACCTGAGCAGCGACTTTATTGACACGTGCAAGGAGAGGGTGGTCAGCCTACGACAGAGGCTCGCCGAGTGAGAGCTCAGAGCGGACGGCCCCAACAACCGCTGCACTTTCCAGGCACATTCCTCTCACAAGTCCGCTGGGGTGAGATATCCGCCTGCAGCGTTGACGGCTCCTGCTTTTTCATGTCGAGATCCCTTTTTCAGCGGCTCGTCATGCTTCAATGATCTTCAACCTTTCCCGTGGAGTGATCAATAGTGTCACTTGCGGCCCTCGAAGGTAGCTTTCGGCTGGCTGGCCTTGCATCCAGCTGCGGGTGCTTGCAAGCAAAGACGTGTCATTGTTGTTAGGGCTGGGCTACATCCGCCCCTCAGGGCAGCTGGGATGCTGGTGCAGTCAGCCCCATGCCAACCCATTTGAAACGGCGCTTCACTCTAGGAATATCTAGGTGCTAGCTCCTTGCCGCAGTCCCCGGGACCTGGTTTGGATATGAACCAGGCAATCCTGAGACGGTTGTTCGACGCCGCCTGGACATCTGCGCTTTGATCAATGCGGCTTCGTGTGTTGGTGTGGCGTAGGTGCTTCATTCTGCGGACGGGGCGCCGTGCAACCGGACTTCCACTAGGGTCCGCAGTGCCTGTGCCTGCTGCGCTAAGCACCGTGCCGGCCAGGCATCCGTATCAAGCCTAGTGGGGACTCTCGTCCCGCGGGGCTGCATGCAGCCTTTTTTGCGGAAGGTCTTGCGGAGCAGGGCCTTCCATCCTTACCAAACGGCTTCGCACGCGGACCTGCGGCAGGCGCAATGCAGGAGACAGCTAGGTCGTTGCCTGTGTCAAGCTGCCTAAAGGTCCATTCCGGGAGGAGCCCAATATGCCCAAGATTGCCTTGTCACCCCGCATGCTGGATGATGGTAAAGTAGATCAGAATCACATGATTTGGGCATATGTCTCGGGTCCCAGATAGCTTCGCTGCGGATGGCAGCTGCGTTCGAGCAACTGGGATACCCGAAGTTGATGCAACGTACTCGTAGATGTGCCAGAAATGGAGGGCTCTTCCCAGTCAGATCATTCAGTAGCCAAAAGGTAGGAAGCTGTGGCAAGGATTTTCCCCGCAGTGGAGCAGAAAAAGCCCGCCCACCGGACCCGTCATTCGGTTTGACGGTCGCAAAGCACCAAAGCATGCGTGATCGGCACGCGCACCCGGCAATACTACTCGTTGCGTGGCTGTTTGTTGACCATTCTATGGTTCGAGAACCACGAAGTGCATCTGCCGCTCCCGACTACGCTGCGCAGCAGCGCCGGACTTGCATTTCTTCATATTTCTTCCAAGTGGTGAAACTGGCGCAGCCTCCCCAGCCTCCCCAGCCTCCGCCCATCGCAACGGCTCAGGTCTCCAACTGTCCTCCCTCCAGACAAATCGTGTGCAGGACAGAGATGGACAGAGCAGTCACAGCAGTCAAGAGGCTCATTTTGGCAAGGCTCATTGTGGTGCTTTCGAGGAGATGTCCCTCGAATTGGACTATCGCAACACTTTCATTACCGTCCAGGATGCAGACAGGGCCAGCAGAGAACATCAGTGATGATCAGCTCTAAGCCGGCCGTGTAGCGCCTGTTTCACAGAAGGTCCGAGCCTCTCAAAACCTGGTAGACTCGTTGGCCTCCGTGCTTTGCAGGAGGAGCCCCTGGTGCAGCTGAAGCGCCGAGCATCCAGCGTCCCGCCAAGGCCAGGGGTTCAAGGATTCAAGCCTCATTTCTCTTTGTTTTGTGTCTTTGTGTGTGTGTGTGTGTGTGTGTTTGTCTCTCTCTGTGTGTGTGTGTGTGTGTCTGTTCTTTTCATTGCTCCGTTGCTGGGAGCCTCTTTCGTAGAAGCCTGCTTGCTGGAGACGCCTTGCAGCTTGTGCGTAGCTGTGCCTGAAGCGCATGTGTAAAGGCTTGGCCACGTTGCGCTGGAGTTCGATTGCCCAGCACAGCAACAGGAGGCCGGCTTCGTTCGCTGTCCACGTTCGCTGCTCATGCGCGCGTGTAAGCGCTGAGGCGGAGGACGGGCGCTACGTGCAGTCTCTCCAGAAGAAGCTGGAGCCCATCTTTGCTTGCAAAGCGGAGCCTCAGAAAGCTGACGAGTACGAGGAGTCTACGGCCGAGACGAATGCCCCGTCGGAGGAGATAACTTCCGAGGGTGAGTCGTCAGAGATGTCGGCTGAGGACAAGCCCAAGTGCAATCCGGGAAGTGCAGGTCATCCGGAGCTGTGCCGCCGTCCCTGCATCTACTTCGCCCTTGGCCAGTGCATCAACTTGGCGGACTGCAACTTCTGCCACTTGCCGCACAACAACCGCTCGGCAACTTTGGACAAGAACCAGCGTCAGGTGATCAAGGAGATGAGTCAGCATGAGTTCTTGAGTGTGGTCACCCGATGCCTGCAGTCCAAGGCGGTCGAGGGCGGTTTCGAGCTTGAAGCGCTGGATGTGCTGCAGCTCTTCAAGGCACAGCTTGGCCAACTGAGGGCAACTCCGAGCAAGGTACCCAAGACCAAAGTCATGAACTTCGAGAAAGCTCTCGCCCGCATGACCTTCTTCAGCGTCGCGAGCCTGACCTCCCGCGTGAACCTGAGCAGCGACTTTATTGACACGTGCAAGGAGAGGGTGGTCAGCCTACGACAGAGGCTCGCCGAGTGAGAGCTCAGAGCGGACGGCCCCAACAACCGCTGCACTTTCCAGGCACATTCCTCTCACAAGTCCGCTGGGGTGAGATATCCGCCTGCAGCGTTGACGGCTCCTGCTTTTTCATGTCGAGATCCCTTTTTCAGCGGCTCGTCATGCTTCAATGATCTTCAACCTTTCCCGTGGAGTGATCAATAGTGTCACTTGCGGCCCTCGAAGGTAGCTTTCGGCTGGCTGGCCTTGCATCCAGCTGCGGGTGCTTGCAAGCAAAGACGTGTCATTGTTGTTAGGGCTGGGCTACATCCGCCCCTCAGGGCAGCTGGGATGCTGGTGCAGTCAGCCCCATGCCAACCCATTTGAAACGGCGCTTCACTCTAGGAATATCTAGGTGCTAGCTCCTTGCCGCAGTCCCCGGGACCTGGTTTGGATATGAACCAGGCAATCCTGAGACGGTTGTTCGACGCCGCCTGGACATCTGCGCTTTGATCAATGCGGCTTCGTGTGTTGGTGTGGCGTAGGTGCTTCATTCTGCGGACGGGGCGCCGTGCAACCGGACTTCCATTAGGGTCCGCAGTGCCTGTGCCTGCTGCGCTAAGCACCGTGCCGGCCAGGCATCCGCATCCAGCCTAGTGGGGACTCGTCCCGCGGGGCTGCATGCAGCCTTTTTTGCGGAAGGTCTTGCGGAGCAGGGCTTTCCATCCTTACCAAACGGCTTCGCACGCGGACCTGCGGCAGCCGCAATGCAGGAGACAGCTAGGTCGTTGCCTGTGTCAAGCTGCCTAAAGGTCCATTCCGGGAGGAGCCCAATATGCCCGAGATTGCCTTGGCACCCCGCATGCTGGATGATGGTAAAGTAGATCATAGTCACATGATTTGGGCATATGTCTCGGGTCCCAGATAGCTTCGCTGCGGATGGCAGCTACGTTCGAGCAACTGGGATACCCGAAGTTGTTGCAAAGTACTCGTAGATATGCCAGAAATGGAGGGCTCTTCCCAGTCAGATCATTCAGTAGCCAAAAGGTAGGAAGCTGTGGCAAGGATTTTCCCCGCAGTGGAGCAGAAAAAGCCCGCCCACCGGCCCCGTCATTCGGTTTGACGGTCGCAAAGCACCAAAGCATGCGTGATCGGCATGCGCACCCGGCAATTCTACTCGTTGCATGGCTGTTTGTTGACCATTCTATGGTTCGAGAACCACGAAGTGCATCTGCCGCTCCCGACTACGCTGCGCAGCAGCGCCGGACTTGCATTTCTTCATATTTCTTCCAAGTGGTGAAACTGGCGCAGCCTCCCCAGCCTCCGCACATCGCAACGGCTCAGGTCTCCAACTGTCCTCCCTCCAGACAAATCGTGTGCAGGACAGAGATGGACAGAGCAGTCACAGCAGTCAAGAGGCTCACTTTGGCAAGGCTCACTGTGGTGCTTTCGAGGAGATGTCCCTCGAATTGGACTATCGCAACACTTTCATTACCGTCCAGGATGCAGACAGGGCCAGCAGAGAACATCAGTGATGATCAGCTCTAAGCCGGCCGTGTAGCGCCTGTTTCACAGAAGGTCCGAGCCTCTCAAAACCTGGTAGACTCGTTGGCCTCCGTGCTTTGCAGGAGGAGCCCCTGGTGCAGCTGAAGCGCCGAGCCTCCAGCGTCCCGCCAAGGCCAGGGGTTCAAGGATTCAAGCCTCATTTCTCTTTGTTTTGTGTCTTTGTGTGTGTGTGTGTGTGTGTGTGTGTGTGTGTGTGTGTGTGTGTGTGTGTGTGTGTGTGTGTGTGTGTGTGTGTGTGTGTGTGTGTGTGTGTGTGTGTGTGTGTGTGTGTGTGTGTGTGTTTGTCTCTCTCTGTGTGTGTGTGTCTGTTCTTTTCATTGCTTCGTTGCTGGGAGCCTCTTTCGTAGACGCCTGCTTGCTGGAGACGCCTTGCAGCTTGTGCGTAGCTGTGCCTGAAGCGCATGTGTAAAGGCTTGGCCACGTTGCGCTGGAGTTCGATTGCCCAGCACAGCAACAGGAGGCCGGCTTCGTTCGCTGTCCACGTTCGCTGCTCATGCGCGCGTGTAAGCGCTGAGGTGGAGGACGGGCGCTATGTGCAGTCTCTCCAGAAGAAGCTGGCACCCATCTTCGTTTGCGAAACGGAGCCCCAGAAACCTGACGAGTATGAGGAACCTACAGCCGAGACGTACGTCCCTTCGGAGGAGATAACTTCCGAGGGTGAGTCGTCGGAGATGTCGGCTGAGGACAAGCCCAAGTGCAATCCGGGAAGTGCAGGTCATCCGGAGCTGTGCCGCCGACCGTGCATCTACTTCGCCATTGGCCAGTGCATCAACTTGGCGGACTGCAACTTCTGCCACTTGCCACACAGCAATCGCTCGGCAACTTTGGACAAGAGCCAGCGTCAGGTGATCAAGGAGATGAGCCAGCGTGAGTTCTTGAGCGTGCTCCTCCGATGCCTGCAGGCCAAGGCGGTCGAGGGCGGTTTCGAGCTTGAAGCGCGGGATGTGCTGCAGCTCTTCAAGGCACAGCTTGGCCAACTGAGGGCAACTCCCAGCAGGGTACCCAAGACCAAAGTCATGAACCTCGAGAAAGCTCTCGCCCGCATGACCTTCTTCAGCGTCGCCAGCCTGACCTCCCGCGTGAACCTGAGCAGCGACTTTATCGACACGTGCAAGGAGAAGGTGATCAGCCTACGACAGAGGCTCGCCGAGTGAGAGCTCAGAACGGACGGCCCCAACAACCGTTGCACTTTCCAGGCACGTTCCTCTCATAAGTCTGCTGGGGTGAGATATCCGCCTGCAGCGTTGACGGCTCCTGCTTTTTCATGTCGAGATCCCTTTTTCAGCGGCTCGTCATGCTTCAATGATCTTCAATCCTGCCCGTAGAGTGATGAATAGTGTCACTTGCGGCCCTCGAAGATAGCTTTCGGCTGGCTGGCCTTGCATCCAGCTGCGGGTGCTTGCAAGCTAAGACGTGTCATTGTTGTTAGGGCTGGGCTACATCCGCCCCTCAGGGCAGCTGGCATGCTGGTGCAGTCAGCCCGATGCCAGCCCGTTGGAAACGGCGCTTCACTCTAGGAATATCTAGGTGCTAGCTCCTCGCCGCAGTCCCCGGGACCTGGTTTGGATATGAACCAGGCAATCCTGAGACGGTTGTTCGACGCCGCCCGGACATCTGCGCTTTGATCAAAGCGGCTTCGTGTGTTGGTGTGGCGTAGGTGCTTCATTCTGCGGACGGGGCGCCGTGCAACCGGACTTCCATTAGGGTCCGCAGTGCCTGTGCCTGCTGCGCTAAGCACCGTGCCGGCCAGGCATCCGCATCCAGCCTAGTGGGGACTCGTCCCGCGGGGCTGCATGCAGCCTTTTTTGCGGAAGGTCTTGCGGAGCAGGGCTTTCCATCCTTACCAGATGGCTTCGCACACGGACATGCGGCAGCCGCAATGCAGGAGACAGCTAAGTCGTTGCCTGTGTCAAGCTGCCTAAAGGTCCATTCCGGGAGGAGCCCAATATGCCCAAGATTGCCCTGGCACCCCGCATGCTGCAAAGTTGTTATGCCAGGAATGGAGGGCTCTTCCTACTTAGATCGTTCAGAAGCCAGCAGGGAGGATGCTGTGGCGAGGATTTTCCCCGCAGTGGAGCAGAAAAAAGGGTACCGACCGACAGCCAATATTGCTTGTTCATGCACTCAGCTCTGGCACTAACTTTTTGGAGCTTACCATGTAGCAGACTGTGCAGAAGCCCACAAGAGTATCTAACCCTAGTAGCCAGACCCCACAAAATCCCAAGCGCGCATTTCTCTCTCTCTCGCTCTCTCTCTCTCTCTCTCTCTCTCTCTCTCTCTCTCTCTCTCTCTCTCTCTCTCTCTCTCTCTCTCTCTCTCTCTCTCTCTCTGTGCAGTGAGGTATGCTGCATCAGCCATCGCACCGGGTACCCTGCAGAAGGTGCCACCCCAGTGCCCAGGGCTTAAACTTTCTGTGGTGTGTTCATAGAATCAGTGCAGAGCTAGAAGTCCCTTAAAGTGCCACGCGCCCACAGCCATCCATGGGTCCGGCTCGACGAGTCCGTTGGGAACCTTGCCGGTTGATGCTCAAGGGGCATGAGCTCTCTAAGACTTCATGCACCAGTTCTTTGCCTACACATCGCTCGTAAGAAAGATGCCGAAAAAATCTGACTAAGGCCAGACCAGGCCGGTAGAAACCGACCGAGACCTAGACATGGCAGACAAGAGATACTAACAATAAATAAGAACAAGAAGACGCATAATAGCAATGCTAACAAGCTATGGTGTTCACAGTGTTCACTGTAGCTCTAAGGGGGGGGGTAGCAGGTGTTGAGGCGGACCAGGAAGTGACGGTACGGGGCTTGTTGCGTGGAGTGAGAGCCGGACTTAGAATGGGGGCGGCTGGCTCTTCCAGACGCTGTGCCCGTTTGACATGGCCGGGGCCGTGATCTCAGACACTGTAGGGCTTAGGGTTTAGGGTTTAGGATTGCCTTCGAAGGCTGTCTGTCTGTGCCATCCTGTACCGTTCTCATGCCACTCTGCACAGGGCTAAGGTTCAGTGTCAAGGTCCACGTTTTGTGGCAGAGTTGAGGAGGGCTGAGGGTCTCAACCACTGACTTCCGCGCCCAACTAAGTCCTTGCGGGCCGAGCCTCTGAACGCGCCGCTGCCGTTGCTGGTACTGCGCTGGGCCGGGGCCCCATCAATCTTGCCTTAGGGGTTGAAATTGCTTTAGGATGGTACTTGGGCTTGGGGTAGCTCAAAACTTACAGGACTTACGCCTGTAGGCGTACAATTGCGGGACATCTCGGGTTTGGGGTCCAGGGTCCGCCCTGCCGTTCTGCCCTAAGCCATAGCTCTGGAGAGATGCCGGTGGTTCTCGATTATGGTCTTCGGGTACTCTAAAATCAGGGCACCTGCCCCCAAGAAGGCCCACCCTGAAAGTCCTTGAAGTACTCTTGCAGCCAAAGGCACGCATGTGTAAAAACCAGCAGCAGGGGCGGCAAAGCCAAGGGTACGGCAGGAGAAGTTGGAAGGGCAATCGCAAGGGAAGTACGCGCAGAAAGGAATCTTTTCACGGTCTGCTCTCACCCCGAACTTATAACCCTGGGGTGAGTAGGGCTTGGCGCTTAGGGCTTGTTATGGGCTCAGGGTGATGGCTAACGAGAGATGGGTAGCCCCGAAGCCTACTTGACGGCTTTGGGTAACTGTCACGGGACAAGAAACAGGCCAAACCACATAAACCCTAAACCCTAACCCCTAACCCCTAAACCCTAAACCTTAAACCCTAAACCCTAAACCCTAGACCCCAAACCCTAAACCCTAGACCCTAAACTCTCCCAAACCTACCTAGAGCTTCCACGACTTCCAGGGTGGGGCCTTTTTGAGAGGAGGGGACCGAACCACCAGGGTACCCCAAAAAGGGGTCGGCACCAAATCCAGGGGGAACCTACCACGATCCAGTCTGATAGTCTGTTGTAGACCCCCTGAACCTTCAAAGTTGCTAGGGCTTAGGGTTTATGGCTTCAGGGTTGCCCCCCCCCCCCGCCCACACCCTTGCTAGGCTTATAGAAGGGTTTAGGGCTTGGGGATGGTTGCCCGCCACGCCCTTACCCCTAAAGCCTGGACCACTGAACTTGCAAACCCCGAGGTCTGCCGTATTTTGGATTCGCCCGTGATCATTTTGTTGGCCTGCGCCTTAGGTGGAGTCTTGTACGGTTGGATGGGGTTGCAGTGGGATAAAATCTTTCTGAAGTACAACGTTCTCGAGTTTACTAGATCCCTAGATCAATCAGGAGTCTTTATGTTTATGTGAGTTATTTCAACTCAATGAATGAGCAGTTTCATGAAGTTGAACTAGGCTTTCAACTTTGTTGAGACGTGCACCCCAGTCAGGTTTGAAGAACTATTCGCCAGCGAAAGAAAGTGCATTCGGCCCAACACGTCAAAGAACGTGTTTGTAGGCATGAAGCCACATCTCAAGCTTGTCGGTTCTCCTGTGTATCAGTTCAACCTGTACAGCTGAAGGGCACAGATTGGGAGGCTCCCCCTTAATACGAACAGTTAGGGGGTACCTATAATCCCTATTACGGACTGTTCGTACAAGGGGGAGCATCCGAAGGCACAGCCATAGTTATGAGCATGCCGGCGGTCCCAGTGGTGTACCAAGGGAGTTTCCAGTCTGCACAGTCAGGGTGCAGGTAAGGAGCAAAGACGCCGGAGAGTAGCTTCAAAGCCCGAGATGTTAAACGTGAGCTTGGGGGACGCAGAGGCTTGCTGGAGAACCCCGGCAGTCCTGTTGATCCTGAATTAGCAAAGGCTGGCATTGCCAGGAGAAGGCGCGAAACCTTCGCATGTTTGTTGCCTCTGCTCGTGCGCTGCCAAGGCTTCGGTAGGGGAGCCACCAAGAAGTCAAGAAGACAGCAAAGAGAGAAACAAGGAAACCCAGGGAGCTCCTAGGTTTCTTCAGGGAGACATGCGGGGCCTCCTCAAGTTTTAGGGGTGAGTAGACGAAGGTCTGGGCTCTGGCTGCTTTGAGCAGCGCCGCCGTCCTGGCACAGCACCAGCGTTTAGCCGAGGAGACCTGCTCTTTGCTCTGCATTTGGTGTGGAGTACGTGTACGCCTTACATCCACAAGCTTCCGGCTTTCTAGTTATCTCTGTCGTCGAAGTTCCTCACGAAGCCAGGGCGTGTTGGAGTGAAGGACTGAAGGCAGGCAGATGCTTGATGTTTAGAAAGCCGTGCAAAGAAGGGGCGTGGAGCCTTCGCGTCCTGGATGAATGTGCCAGGTCAGGTTAACAGGCATGTCGCGTTTGGGCCGGTAGATCTGAAAATCTGAAACACCTGGTGGGTCTACAAGATGCCTTTTGGAAGAGGCGGTCTAGCTTCGTAGAGTGGTTGCTACGAAGCAGACTTCAGAGTTTTGGAGCCTGAGCTGTGAGGAGTCCCTCCTCGCTGGACTGCAGAGTGCGGGACAGACGGGCCTTACAGACGGGCCTTGCCAGTGCATGGAGTGCATGGAGTGCATGGCGTGCATGGAGTGCATGGAGTGCATCGCTGATGGCACAAGTTGTCTGCCTCCGGATGTGACCTGAAGCTGACATGAGTGATCATGACTCTTGAGCCGGCTGAACGCAGGACCTATCGCATCTGCTCCGCGTCCGTATTCCTGGCGGTTTGTGCTGGTCGACTGTCGGTCTCATCCCTGATGTGTGCCCAATGTCTCGCTTTTTTGGCAGTCGCTGTCGAATTGGGCCGACCTGCTCCCTAGCCCTTCAGTCTGGGTTTCGGAGCCCTCGCAAGATTTCAGGCTGTGGAACTTGTGGTTTTGGCAGGCTCCTCCGGTTCCCCACCGCGGCGACGACAACCAGCCTTGCCATGGAAAGGGTCAGGCCGAAGGGCTCCAAATCACAGCGTACGAGGGATTCGGGGGTTTCGGGTTGGGGTGTTTTTGGGTGCAGGTGGTGATGGTGGGCGACTGGTTGCAAGAGCACCAGGGCTCAGCATTTGTTAGTAGTTTCCGCAGAAAGGAGTCGCATCCGCCCTGCCTTCGACCTGCGTAGCAGCCGCTCAAGTCCCGGAACACATTCATCCTACTGCCTGGGGCAAGGCCCAGGCTTTCTAGGAGGGCTTTAGGGTTTAGGGTTTAGGGTTTAGGGTTTAGGGTTTAGGGTTTAGGGTTTAGGGTTTTTGTGTCCTTTTTTGTCATGCCCCCTT